ATCTGGTTCTTAAGGTGCCACACAAACTAAATACATTAGAGAATAGAGATCACAGGTGGGGCAGCAATCTAGGGAAGGAAGTAAAACTGGAAATAAGGACTAGAAAAGGTGATTTCAAAATAAAACAAAATACTGGACAGGGCATGACTTTTTTTTTAAATGTCCTTAAATGTCCTAGATCACCAGTGTCCCTCCTGCATGGGCGAGTAACAACTCAAAAGCAAGAAAAGCCACATCACTCCACAGTGGGCTGTCCACAGTGAGGCTCTTCTTCTGCCTTCAATATGTTCAAATTCAGTCTCTGATAAGCACCTGTCTTCTTATCCTAGAAAACCCACCAACACACTCCTAACCTACAACTCAAGTTGTTCAAGTATGATAAAGCTCAATAACGACACGTCAAACTATTTTTTCCATTACTTTCTGATTATTTTTTCATCAAATCGTTTTGCTAAAATTTGAAAGGGCCGACGGGAGACAAGAGGAAGAGTATTTATAAACTGCTGCTGCAGATCCACTGAAGAGGTTGACAGGCTGGGCAGGAATACAGAAGACAAAACTAAAATAGATGCTTTGTTCAAAACAATGAGGGCGTTAGTTACGACTAGTGATTTATAGAATTGTCAAAACAACAATTAGATGCTTTTATCTATAGCTCTTTAGATCAGTTGTTTGATGGTTTGAATATCACAAGTTTATTATAGAGATTCGAAGTCCGCGATCAGGTTGCCAGAACTCTGCACGGCTCACTAATCTCAGTGATTAGTGAAAAAATAGGGAATAACTATAATTGAAGGGTGATGTCCTCTGGAGAAAACCCTGATGTTGATACGCTGAAGAAATATGTTCCAACATCCATTCTTCCCACTCCTATTTTGGACATCAATTGCTTTTTTATTTTGTATAATCCATGTATAATTACATTGCTTTTATAATAATAATAAAACATTAATCAAAACATTCATTCAACATTAGCACGCCTATCATGGCAATGTGAGAGACAGACAAACAACTGATAAAATAATTCCCTGTGTTTGCTGCTGGATTTAGTGTGTATCTGGCAACCTGAGTCAGGGAGAGTGGGAGAGGACTACAAAATATTGACTGTGGCTGCAGTACCACTTTTGGCCAGATTTTAGATATTGCTTCTTTAACCCACTTAAGTGTCTTGCCCAAAGGAGCGCGGAAGTGATGTTTGCTGCATGCCTTGATGTGTATGTGTATACTGTATGTGTATCAAACTGACATTTCCCCATTGTGGGACAAATAAAGGACCTCCTTCTTCTAAAATACCAGGTGTACCCATATACTTCGCCAACCAGCTGCAACTGAGACAAGAAACTCCGCTGCCTTTACTGACAATGCAAAGTCTAGTGTTTTATATAGAAAATCAAAAAAAACTTGCATTCAAAAACCAGATCCTGTCAAACCTTTGAAGCTGTGCAGGGCAGGGCCTGGTTAGTGCTGTGATGGGAGACCTCTGGGAACATCAGGTGCCACAGCGAGGTGGCTGTGGCTGTAAAGTTCTGAGCTGTCATTGTTTGCAAGTGAAGGCAAGACACTTCACTCGTATTGCCTAGAATGAGTCTGGTTTGTGTGTGCTGTATAAAACCGATGCATTACTGTTATTATTATAATTATTATAAAAAAGTCTGTCTAATCTTCAACATTATTTCCTTTTCAAAGATGATATTGGATCCTTTCCAAAGGCACACCAAACAACATCTCAAGCACAGGTTGAAAAACGCTGCTCTCATAAACAGCAATAACTAAAGCTAAAGCTAAACGTTATTTCTCTCACATGAGACAAGTTAACCCAGGACTGCACCGGGCCACAGGTCAGTGTCCACCTCAGTGATTTTTTATTACCTTTAAATGACGACATTATCATTCTGACAGTGTTTTCATTGTGTTGTGACAGAGATGTCATATTAAGTTTAGAGCATCACGGTAATGGTTTTGAAGTGAACGGACAGCTGATTATAATTAGTAGTGCCCTTCTTTTAATCACTGAAATATACAGTAATTAGTGTCAACATGCAACCGACTTAAGGGAACATCATAAACATGTGTTGTATTTTTATAGTTATAGCTGTATTGTTTTCATAAAAGTATGGAGAAGAGTCTATTTATGTGATAAATGCCATGTGGGTGAACGGAGGCATTTGGTAAACTGCACAGAGAAGAGCAATGTTGTTTTAAAGCTGGGGTATCTAACTTTCAAGCCACATAAACAATCTATGTGATCAAAGCTAGTGAGATGCGGTCAGGGGAGGCAGGTGAGACCATGCAGATATTCGTCACATTTGTCTCATATTTGTCAATGAGCGTAAATGCCTCAGTTCACAGAGGGAGAAGGTCGTGATGTAGATTGGACTCTTTTCTCTGTTTATCACTGTTTAAGATAAGATAAGATGAACCTTTATTTGTCTCACAGTGGAGAAATTTCATGCGCACATTACAGCAGAGAAAGGAAATAAGAGCACTCAGATTGCACACATCAAAAAAGTATATTATTTAAGATAATAGACAATAAAATTAAGATAAGAATAAAATAAAATAAAATAAACTCTGGGCACTTGGTTCAAAAGTATTTACAGATGTCTATGTACTTTAGCAGCGGAGAATATGGGAATATGCATATGAACAGAATAAATATCAGAAATAATATCAACAGGTAAAGTGGCTTGTGAATGGCAGAAATATCAGATGGATATGTAATAATACTGTAAAACTAACAGCAGGAAAAGTGGCTAGTGACAAGTTACTATAGTGAACTATCAGTGACATTTGTACAGACTCAGCATTTCTTGTTGCACATTCTCGTTGTACAGCCTGACAGCAGCAGGTAGGAAGGACCTGCGAAACCTCTCCTTCACACAGCGAGGATGAATAAGTCTGTCACTGAAACTGCTCTCCAGGGCAGAGAGAGTGTGCTGCAGGGGGTGACAGTCATGGTCCAGCATAAATGTTAGTTTTTCCAGGACCCTCCTGTCCCCCACCTGCTGCACTGTGTCCAGGGAACAGCCCAGGACTGAGCTGGACTTCCTGATGACCTTGTCCAGCTTCTTCTTATCTCTCTCTGTGATGCTGCTGCCCCAAAGGGTGTCCTTTGGGGGGTGCTCCGGGAGTACGGTGTCCGGGGTCGGACCGTTGTGGTGAAGAGGGAGCTGAGCCGTAAGACAAAGCTTTCGATTTACCGGTCAATCTTCGTTCCCTCCCTCACCTATGGTCATGAGCTTTGGGTAATGACTGAAAGAACGAGATCGCGGATACAAGCGGTCGTTAGAGCTTCCTCCGCAGAGTGGCTGGGCGCTCCCTTAGAGATAGGGTGAGGAGCTCAGTCACACGGGAGGAGCTCGTAGTAGAGCCGCTGCTCCTTCACGTCGAGAGGAACCAGTTGAGGTGCCTCCCTGGGGAGGTGTTCCGGGCACGTCCCACTGAGAGGAGACCCCGGGGAAGACCTAGGACACGCTGGAGGGACTATGTCTCTCAGCTGGCCTGGGAACGCCTTGGGTTTCCCCCGGACGAGCTGGAGGAAGTGTGTGTGGATAGGGAAGTCTGGGCGTCTCTGCTTAGACTGCTGCCCCCGCGACCCGGCAACGGATGAAGCGGAAGAAAATGGATGGATGGATGGATGGAGAATTATATTTAATTAAACTAATAAAAATGAGCCTGTAGTTTGTGGGTTCAAGCCCATCACTAGACCTTCTTCACCGACTCCCACTGATGTCTGCTGTTGTTGTGTCCTTGGGCAAGACATTTTACAGCCCCTGCTGAAAGATCAAGGCTGTGGACTCACCACCTGCAGGAGGATCAGTTAAATGGATTTAGTTTTCTGTTAAATGGATGGATGGATGGCATAGGTAAATATAAATTTGTAAAAACTTTCCAAGAATTCTTGAGTTGAACATGATATATACAATCCATGAAGTTGAAAGTAGTTGTTAAAACACAACACACATGTTTCACATTCACTCATAGTACAGCTGACTGAGTGGAAGTCCATATATGGGCCTCCTGACGTGACTTCCACGTCCTTCTCACCCACTCTCCTCCTTCCCTCTGCCCTTCAGTCTTAACGTCCATCACCAGAGGAACGTGGGGGACTGGACATCAATTATTATTATCTTTTAACTGTTCTATATTTTGCAAATAGTCTAATCTGCTTAGAGCCCTATTGATTTTCCCAACAGGTGGCAGCAGAAAACCCAAGCCTCTCTCCTATTATTACGTGATAAAGCACTTTGAGGGTGCCATATCAATACGTATTACGGTATTGTATGGAGGAATGCCGCCGCAGCGCGAACCTATATCATTAAAATCCAATTACTTATCATTTGGTATGAGGGTATTAAGGTTTTAGCCAGAGGGGTAAAGCAATTTTGAAACGCCAAGCTGCCCTGATGGAATTACCGATGTGTGCGAGCCAGGGAGCTTGGATAGTTCCATAGTAGCAAAGATGAGGAGGAGAGAATATTTGTACCGAGGAGGGATTTTGGCACAGATGAGGGAGCGTTTGGAGGGAAGATTAAAGATGAAATGTTTTTCTTTTCGTTTTAAGCTTGGGTTTCTGACGCCCTCGCTTGACTGACGAGTGGAGAGAAATGATAAATAGCAGCGTCAGAAAGACCGATTGACAAATGCTTTTGAGAGACTTGGACTGGCAGCATCCTGGATTCATTTATACAGTGACTTGCAAAAGTACTTTTGTCACGTTTACAACCACAAACATACAACCACAAAGATTTTCAAACAAAAAATTGTGAAAATACATACAGTAGCCTTTTCATATTGACTGATGAATAAAAAACGTCTTGCTATAAAGTATAAATAGAGCCCAGTTGTGTAAAATCTACTCTGTGTCCTTTTTTGTTGCTGTGTATAATCTGACACATATTTGACACTTAAAACTTACAATTCATCGTGAATTATCTTGGTGCATTTTTGTTTGTTGAATCTCATTATATGATTCTGAAAAGAAAAATACATTCGAGTTAATGATAGCTGCCCCAGCACATGTGTGTGAGCTGGTTACAATTCAATTGCAATTCAATGTATTGGGGGGGGGGGGGGGGGGGGGGGGGGGGGGGGGGGGGGGGGGGGGTGGGGGGGGGGGGGGGGGGGGGGGGGGGGGGGGGGGGGGGGGGGGGGGGGGGGGGGGGGGGGGGGGGGGGGGGGGGGGGGGGGGGGGGGGGGGGGGGGGGGGGGGGGGGGGGGGGGGGGGGGGGGGGGGGGGGGGGGGGGGGGGGTGGGGGGGGGGGGGGGGGGGGGGGGGGGGGGGGGGGGGGGGGGGGGGGGGGGGGGGGGGGGGGGGGGGGGGGGGGGGGGGGGGGGGGGGGGGGGGGGGGGGGGGGGGGGGGGGGGGGGGGGGGGGGGGGGGGGGGGGGGGGGGGGGGGGGGGGGGGGGGGGGGGGGGGGGGGGGGGGGGGGGGGGGGGGGGGGGGGGGGGGGGGGGGGGGGGGGGGGGGGGGGGGGGGGGGGGGGGGGGGGGGGGGGGGGGGGGGGGGGGGGGGGGGGGGGGGGGGGGGGGGGGGGGGGGGGGGGGGGGGGGGGGGGGGGGGGGGGGGGGGGGGGGGGGGGGGGGGGGGGGGGGGGGGGGGGGGGGGGGGGGGGGGGGGGGGGGGGGGGGGGGGGGGGGGGGGGGGGGGGGGGGGGGGGGGGTGGGGTGGGGGTGGGTTTGGGTGTGGGGGGGGGGTGTGGGGGGGGGTTTTGTGTTGGGGTGGTGGGGGGGGGGGGGGGGGGTGTGTGGGGTTGGGGTTTGGTGTGTGGGGGTGGGGGTGGGGTTTGGGGGTGGGTGGTGTGGGGGGGGGGGGGGGGGGGGGTGGGGGGTGGTGGGTGTGTGTGTGTGGGGTTGGTGGTTTTGTGGTTGGTGGGTTTTGGGGGGGGGGGGTTTGTGGGGGGGGGGGTGTTGTGGGGTGGGGGTTGGGGTAGGTGGGGGGGGGGGGGGGGGGGGGGGGGGGGGGGGGGGGGGGGGGGGTGGGGGTGGGGGGGGGGGGGGGGGGGGGGGGGGGGGGGGGGGTGGGGGTGGGGGGGGGGGGGGGGGGGGGGGGGGGGGGGGGGGGGGGTGGGTGGGTGGGTGGGTGGGGGGGGGGGTGGGGGGGGGGGGGGGGGGGGGGTGTGGGGGGGGGGGGGGGGGGGGGGGGGGGGGGGGGGGGGGGGGGTGGGGGGGGGGGGGGGGGTGGGGGGGGGGGGGGGGGGGGGGGGGGGGGGGGGGGGGGGGGGGGGGGGGGGGGGGGGGGGGGGGGGGGGGGGGGGGGGGGGGGGGGGGGGGGGGGGGGGGGGGGGGGGGGGGGGGGGGGGGGGGGGGGGGGGGGGGGGGGGGGGGGGGGGGGGGGGGGGGGGGGGGGGGGGGGGGGGGGGGGGGGGGGGGGGGGGGGGGGGGGGGGGTGGGGGGGGGGGGGGGGGGGGGGGGGGGGGGGGGGGGGGGGGGGGGGGGGGGGGGGGGGGGGGGGGGGGGGGGGGGGGGGGGGGGGGGGGGGGGGGGGGGGGGGGGGGGGGGGGGGGGGGGGGGGGGGGGGGGGGGGGGGGGGGGGGGGGGGGGGGGGGGGGGGGGGGGGGGGGGGGGGGGGGGGGGGGGGGGGGGGGGGGGGGGGGGGGGGGGGGGGGGGGGGGGGGGGGGGGGTGGGGGGGGGGGGGGGGGGGGGGGGGGGGGGGGGGGGGGGGGGGGGGGGGGGGGGGGGGGGGGGGGGGGGGGGGGGGGGGGGGGGGGGGGGGGGGGGGGGGGGGGGGGGGGGGGGGGGGGGGGGGGGGGGGGGGGGGGGGGGGGGGGGGGGGGGGGGGGGGGGGGGGGGGGGGGGGGGGGTGGGGGTTGGGGGGTGGGGGGGGGTGTGGGTGGGGTAGCATTTAACGTGCTGGTTTTTTTTTTTTTTTTTTAGAATTAGTACATATGGCGCAAGCATAAGGCTCCATGGGCAGTCATCCAAGGCAATTTGTGCAAACACAAACTCCCCCAGACCTGAACTGTGACATAATGCTGGGGTTGTATATGGAAGATCAATACACAAAGTACATATTGTGAACAGACGTGCGAGTCCAGAGCAATGTGGGGATAAATAAGCCATAGGGGGCTCCAGTAACTTTTCATGGTATAACTTCTTGCTTCTTGCTGTCCTTGGAAATGTTATATTCTTATTGATTGATCATCTCTCCACATATCTAACAAAGGGGATCGTCAAGGGGAGTGTAGACGGACTCCGAGGCTAAATTCAATATGGAAGTATTTTGATATATTTCTTATGCAACATTGTTTGCCTCATAAATTAAAATACCTGGAGTTTTATTTTGTTTTAAAAATATGTTAATGTTCAAATTACAATACCCTCTAGTGGTAACATTAGGATGTGGGCAAGTCTTGCAAAAAAACTCAGAAATTCTGCATTTGTACTGATTGATCGTCTCTCCACATATCTAACTTGCAAACTATAATAACGTAGCAGCGATATTCAACGTTGTTTTGTTTGCTATGGTGTCTGCTAAAGCAAGTTCATTTATAGGTTGGGGCTCAAATGCTTCATTTATGGAGTTATGAAACCACCTCAATGATCTAAATGACTAATGGAAGAGTGCACTTGTTTAGTGGTTTCACATCTCCACAGATTTTCACTTAAAAGTGGTTCACTTTGGAGTCTTGTATGAACATGTCCTTAGTTATGTTTGCTTGAAATATGTTGGTCACTGTTTGATGATATTGATGATATTCTTTGATGTAGTTCATAATATAAAAATATGGCTCGGTGCCTACTTGGTAGTAATATTAGAATTAGAATTATGAACAGGGAAATCCTACCAATGTCCAAGCCCTGGTGGTTTAGATGAACTGAGCCGATGAGTTGAGTTGAGAGTGTCCCATTGTTAAGGAGGAGGCGGGTTGCTGCACGAGTTGAAAGCATATAAATGTGTCAGCTGAACTGATTCCCGTCTGAACCGTCCCCAATTTTTCTTTATGTACATAAATTATAGTGTTTCAAATATTGACTCACCATAATTAATTAAAGCAGCAGTAAGCGATTTGGTCGTTTCCGGCAGTTTCTTCTGCCTGAGCGAGTTAGTAGCCCCGCCCCCGTCCCCTCGTCACACCACATGAACGCGCATTGTGTTGGTGATGGCAGCAGCAGATTCATCTCCGTCAGGTCTACTCGTAAGTATATTAACAAACTCTGGGAGTGAAATATTAGCATAGAATAGCTCAGTTGTAACCTAGCTATAACACTGAAAGCAACTTGGTGTTAGCTAGGATAGCATCACTAAGAAAGAGATAAAAACAATCCAGTCTTTTATAGAATAATACTGCTTCTCTAGTTGGTACACTGATAACTGTTTTGATAAACATAATGTTGCACATTGCAGTGTGACGTGTCTCAACATTATGCACTGTAACATCTGTTACAGTTCATATGTATTAGATGAATGTAATGCATATACATTACAACAACAAAGCTTTACATGAAGGTTATTTAAAGTAATACATTACTGCTTTCCTCACAATTTGTATATTTGGAGTTCTTTATAGACAACACTGTAGTAATGTATTATGTGAAAGTAAAGCTGCATCTCACTGGAAGCTGCCTTCTCAATGTCACAAAATAAAGATACATTTATTGATGTAATCAACATCTGTATTATGTGCTTATTGTTCAGAGAATGAAGACAAAATCAAAGTGTATCAGAGCTGTACAGTGAGATGTGGGACTGAAAAACAATTCCAGTAAAGCTTGTCCGAAACGCAAAAGTACTGTCATAACTAATTACGTTACACTGACTATTACACTGTAAGGAAACTCACCACTTTGAAAGAAAAGCTACAAGTAACAGAATATATAAAGTCATTTGTCATAACGGTTCTTTCAGGAAGCACTGAACGCCCTCTGTCCAGAGAAGCTGATGACCAGATCCTCCCAGACCTGGCCCTGTGCGTCTGTGAAAGGTGCCAACAGACATTGAAAACGTGCTGTCCTCAGCGGCCCCCATGGTGCACGTCCTCAGCGGCCCCCATGGTGCACGTCCTCAGTGGCCCCCATGGTGCACGTCCTCAGCGGCCCCCATGGTGCACGTCCACTCTGCAGTTCTGAAATATGTTTGTAGTTGTACTATTTCAAAATAAAAAAAATTACATTCACCTCTTTCAATGTGCTTTGTTTTATAGTAGGAAAACAAATACAGTCTGTAACGAGTCTAAGAAACTTTATTATGTAAAAGAAGATTTGAAGTTATGGCCAGAAAAATATACACAATGTCCCTTCTAAGACAAATAATTACAAATGATGGTAAGGCAACGTTTGTGTTATCACTTTTTGCTCAAATGAATAACACTGTTATTATCCAGGTCCTTATCCATCGCTGCTGCAGCGAACACTATCAGAGATATCCAAAAAAATGTTAATCTTTATGTTGTAGCTTGTTTGAATACATTTCCTCAAAATAATTCATAAGCAGCCACGCACACACAGCCACACGCACACACAGCCACAAGCACACACAGCCACAAGCACACACAGCCACAAGCACACACAGCCACAAGCACACACAGCCACACGCACACACAGCCACAAGCACACACAGCCACAAGCACACACAGCCACAAGCACACAGTCACACGCACACACAGCCACAAGCACACACAGCCACAAGCACACACAGTCACACGCACACACAGCCACACGCACAGACAGCCACACGCACACACAGCCACAGTCACACACAGCCACGCTTCAGGGGCCCAGGTTGAAGGAACTGGAGTCTTCCTCTGGCAGAGATTTTCCTTTGAAACACAATAGAGGAGACATCAGTTTTATCTACTCAAATATGACTTTGATATATTCATCATCAACAACATCAGTATTTATTGATCACCAGGAGTGGCCCCTGATCCACAGGATCCTTGAACATGTTTATTTGGACTGTGAGAGACTGTGCATTGTGAGAGAAAGACACTTACATCGGCTGTTTTGGGAGTCGAGTGATTATCTCACTCCTCTTGATTGTTCCCATATATGCATTCAGAACAACCTACATGACAAATGTGGGGTGTAAAGTCTTCCTCAGGAGATGACAATGGCCATTCTTCTAATTATGGAAGCAAAGTCTTGTCTTCCCAGTCAATACTAGAGAAAGAAGAGGTCAGCAGAAAAGTATCTAGTCGTTATGGCATTTTTTTTTTTTTTATAGTTATTTAACTTGCATTATGGAGGCTGTTGAACTCTTGTACATTGAAGACCTCATTCCAATTGATTTAGGCCATACTGGAAAAGATACAGAGAAAAGAATGCAATGAAGACATGTAAATTATTACAATGTCTATATTATATCATGCTCATAATTTATTTGGTAGTAGTCAGCAAGACTTTTCTTACTTATTCTCAATACATAATAATAAAAATGTATGTAGTGGTCACGGAAGTTAGATTTGAGGTAAAGAGATATTGTTTTTATAACAATAAAACTAATATACAGAGTGCAAGTTGCAAAACTTAGTCATTGAAGAATGAAATGCAGACCTACATATATATATATATATATATATAGTGCAAGCAACTATGTTTATTGGCAAAAACAAACGATTCATACAGATCAGAAGTGTTCGTAGCAGCCACATCATATTCACAACTACAGACAGCTAATGCTAACAGCGAACGCTAATGCTAACAGCGAACGCTAATGCTAACAGCGAACGCTAATGCTAACAGCGAACGCTAATGCTAACAGCGAACGCTAATGCTAACAGCTAACGCTAATGCTAACAGCGAACGCTAATGCTAACAGCGAACGCTAATGCTAACAGCTAACGCTAATGCTAACAGCGAACGCTAATGCTAACACCACTTCACGGGGGAACTCTGGTGATATGGTCATTTAATTTTGTACATGTGGGGAACTAATAATTGACCGGAGTTTATGGATGGCTGAGGCTGGGATAAGGCTTCGATGTTGTGTTGTCTGTTGTTGTTTCTCAAAGCTAAGCCAAGGTAATGCGCAGTTATTGCCACATAATGCGGCCGTATTTCTACAACAGCTGGGGATTTTTAACTAGCTAACTTGGTGAAAACCCGCATTACAGTCTATCTCAGGCAAAAATATGTATAAATAATACAACTACTACTGCCACTACTGAGTAACATGCTCACCTGTTCAGTCGGAGAGAGGAATCCACGGAGCTAGAGGTCGCCAACATGAATGCAGCTGGTCACCATGTTGCTCCTACTTTTTGTCGTTCCTCTGTTTCTGGCGTTTTGCCTGTATTTAATAGATCCATGGTATTTAGTCTGCAGCAGCGCTGGAGGCGGCTTTTCCTTCTCCGCCATGTTTGTTTTGAAGAGTGCGCGTGCACACACGGGAGAAACCCCTTATAAGGCGTGCTCTCTCGTCATTGGATAAGCGCATAGGATGTGAGGTTTTTTTATTATGTCGGTGAGAGGAGACTGGAAGGACTGAGAGATCCGTGTTTAGGTACAAACACTCTATATAAGTGATGGCTATTGGAATATATCAATATTTAAGACGTATATTAACACCCAAAAATCGCTTACTGCTGCTTTAAGACACAATCGTATGTGCTTTGTAAAACCTTCATCAGCAGAGTTTCATGCTTCCAATATCAATACTAACAGTATACAATCCAAAACCTGACCTGTTTAAAGAGGTCAAGCAACTTTTCCAATTGTTCCCAACTTTTCTATCCTAAAGGTGTCGTGCTCTAAAGGTCCCTCTAACTTTGGTAGGAAGTTACTCTGTCTCTTGATGAAGAAAGTATTGATGATTGCAGCTGTTTATGCTACAAAACATAAAAGTGTGTTCCTTATTGAATTCATCTAAATGTGTGTCTACTTCAGTCATGTCAGCAAGTTCAATATGCTTTCTTTGGCTCACATGGGACAGCTAA